TAGCACAGACATTGCTCCTTCTAACGAGTTGCCTCCCGTAATCAATCATTACTGGACGAGAAATTACGAGAAAACCTCGAAAAGTCTGAGTTCAAGCCAAGATTGAGATGATGTCCAACTTTGTATCGCGCCTCCCTGCATTGTGAAGCGATGGCATCCATGAGGTGCTCAAAAACAGGCAAGGACCCCGCAGTAACATTGCTGTACAATTTTGATCTTACACGCCTCTCTATAAAAAGAAAGCCCAATTTGAAAAAAGTGACAGAACTTTCCCGCCAACCTAATACATAATGTGGCATCCGCAACCGACAATCAATGGATGAGAACACTGAGGAAGCTTCATTTGTTCTCGCTCTTCTACAAGTTGCATGCCCGCTTTGAACCGATTTTAATTTGTGGATAGACAATACTGCTCTGAGCACTGTTACTGGCAACACGTTTTCTACCACTTTTTGCCATGGGACGGAAACGTACGAGGTATGATCAGATTACTGTTGTGATAACTCCGGAAAATATGTTAATTTCATGAACGCCTTCGTTTCATTACAGGTTTCCAAAAAAGGAGAGCGTTATGGTCACTGATACAGCACATGACCACCCCAATTCAGCACTATTCGACATACCTTGACAACCTGGCTGGTAAGTGGACTGCATCAAGAAACCTTGTGCGTCGTAGCAACAGGTCTGCCCATAGTGGGTGGAAGTAGGCGCTGCAAGCAAATGTACTTGAGAAACGCGAATTAAGTGTGACGAGCAATCAAATGGCATACCTCTCTTGTTCACGACCTTCGTAGTTCATGCGGTACGTTGAACCGCGCACATTTTGCGCCGACATGTAGCAGTTCATCGAGCCAAGCGTCTCCGTACAAGAGACGTCACGAAATAGCTGAAACGCAGCAAGAAACAGTAGGTGTTCTGTCAAAGTTGAACAATTCATGTAATCCTTGGGAAAGTTACTAGCGAAATAGGCTTAGCAGCTTTGATCGCGCGTTCAGAGCGGTCCAAAGGTCAGCATGTCCCACGGTTCGAAATAGGTGGTAGAGCATGCTAATGCGCTCCCTACTTATGCAAGTCAGTACTACGTAAACGCACGTGCCTCCCGAGCACTTCCTGTTTTAAGTAATTGCTGAAACTATATTAGCTGCAGATGTGCTTACTTCCTTCCCTCGAGAACTTTGTGGGTAAAGGGAAGCAGTGTTCACGGCATTCTTCAGCTTGGGAATTTCAGTCATGAATGTAGTTTTCAGGTGAGAAGTGGCACTTACCGCACTACATCTGGGATGAGGCATGAATCGTCCGATATCCATTTTTGCCTGCTCCTCCTTACATGGACAACTGGAATTTGTCTCTGTCTCACGAATGAAGTTCGATAGAGCTCCATCCTTCGTCGAACCAACTGTGACACATCTCTCGCGACTAAAGCATTTGCTTATGAAAATTTCAGGCTTGAGCTGTAATTCGGAAAACATCACTCATTGGTCACATCGTACATAACATTTTTCCTCGTTGTGCCGATTAACAAGTTCTGCATGTAACCCGCCGATTTGGCCTCTTAATAGCTCTGACGCTACATATTTCTAATAATGCCCTCTTGCTTCAGAGACTTCCAGAAACATCAGAATGGATGACTGTAATCTTATCCAAAACTGCATAAAATTTTAGTAAAAGCGGTACTGTTTTGCAGAGAAGATCAGTGTCAGTGCTGAGATGTTTGCACCTCCCAATACTTTACATAACACCTCACCTTCTCCTTGACGAAAGGTAAGCTTCTCCTGCTTGTCCTGCTTATTTCCTTGAAATTCTCCTTCGGGTGGTAGGGTCCAGAGCCAGTGCAACGAAATCGGAGCAGATATCATTCTAAAAGCAAAAGGACTGAATTTACAAAGTGTTCGAAGGCTAATTCGCCTCGGGCAGGTATGCAGAAATACGTAAGATACATAAAAAAATATCCATTCAAAACCCTCTGTGTATCGGACGGATTTCCTAAACTGCAACTACTGCGCATTACTGAGTATCACAACATTTTCCACACAGTGCTGGGACTTTCTTCTTCACAGAAACAAACCCTTCAGGAAGATCCACGATCCTGCCTCTATCGGTTGTTGTCTGAGTTTCAGTCTGTACCATAGGAGCCAGTTTGAGGTAGCCTAATCTGAACGTAAAAAAATTTCGTTGTGATAACACGCACACATCCCTGAAAAACACTTT